GTCACTCCCCACCTTCTCCCCTCTCCCCCGCCCCCCGAGCCCCCTTCCTGTCCGCGGATGAGCCCGTTCTGTGCGTGTCACCCACGTGGACTCACACCCCGCGTGACCTTCCATGTCCGGGTCCCTCCCTGAGCGTCCCCGCCATCAACGGTCACTCCCCACCTTCTCCCCAGCCCTCCGCCCCCACGAGCCCCCTTCCCGTCCGCAGATGAGCCTGTTCTGGACGTGTCACCCACGTGACTCACACTCCGCGTGGCCTTCCATGTCCGGGTCCCTCCCTGAGCGTCCCCGCCCCCATCAACGGTCACTCCCCACCTTCTCCCCCGCCCCCCGAGCCCCCTTCCTGCCCGCGGATGAGCCCGTTCTGTGCGTGTCACCCACGTGGACTCACACCCCACGTGGCCTTCTGTGTCTGGTTCCCTCCCTGAGCATCCCCGCTCCCATCAACAATCACTCCCCACCTTCTCCCCTGCCCCGGCCCCCCGAGCCCCCTTCCCATCTGCAGATGAGCCCATGTGGCTTCTGTGTCCGGTTCCCTCCCTGAGCGTCGTGGGCTCGGGGTCTGTCCCCGGGGCCGCGCGTGTGGGCACCTCGCTCCTGTCCGTGGCCATGTATCCCCGTGGGTGGTGGACCATGTTGTGTGTCTTCACCGCTGATGGACATGGGCCATCAAATGGCGGCTTCCACAGTATTTTCAAGCTCAGCTTCTCCTTTCCTGGTGGCAGATCCACATTGCTGGGGTGTCTTGATTTTCTCCGAGGGGAGAACCCCCTGCCCCCATCTGTGTCCCCGGGCCCTGGCCCTTTCCCTCCCAGCACCAGCTCCCAGATGGCATCGCGGGCCTTCAGCTGGGGCCCTGTCCCAGCAGGGAGGAGCGGCGGGCCATGCCAGGCCACCTTGGCCTGCCAGCCCCTCCCCCAGCCCTGGCCTGCGTGCCCGTTTCAGGACAGGGGACAGAAGGCGAAAGTCCAGCTGCCAAACCCGGCCCTGGCCAGCTGGGTCGAAGATGGGGATCAGCTACCCCCAGCCGGTCGTCTGTTCTGGGCAGCATTGGGGCCTGACGCTGCCTTCGCCCGCGGCTCCGTGCAAGGTCACGCTGCCGTCCTTGCTGCTGGTCAGCACCACCCCCCACACCCTGCCTGTGCGCCAGAAAGCAGGGGTTGTGACTTTGGCACAGCCTGGGAGCAGCCCCGTGCCAAATGTGTGCTTTCTCAAAAAATGCCCCTGTTCATTTTGGCGTTTTGCTTTGTTTTGCTAATTCGCCGGAGGCTCAGAGAGAAGCTGCTTTCCCAAGAAAGCGAGCTCGGCAGCAAGGACCCCACCAGGGCACCTCCCCTGGGTTAGGCCAGTGTCAGGGGAAGGGTACCCGGCAGACGCCCGCCTCACCTCTGTTTCTGTCTCTGCCCGAGCAGGTCACGGGACGGACAGCCGGCCAGCCATGGCCATCTTCGAGCTGCTGGACTATATTGTGAACGAGGTGTGTACCGGAGGCCCCTCTGGTCCGTCTTCACGAGGGCGGATTAAGCTGTTGGACTTGGAATTGTTACCCAAGGGAAGGGAATTCTGCACGTAGACCGGATTCTGTTGGGGAGGAGTGGGGGGCGGAGCAGGGACCTCTTTTCAATGGTCAGTTATCGGGTAGAAGCGTGTGGCCTTCCTGCCATACCACACGAGTCTGCCACGTCCTGAGAGGAGTTTACGTCCCTGTGTGGGTGTGGGTGTGGGTAAAGACACCCCCCCCCCCGCAAGGCCGCATGCCCAGGCCCAAGAGCTGCCCCTGGTAGCTCTCTGCGCATCTGACTCCCTGCACGCGCTGTCATGAGTGATCCACTTCCTCGGGGAAAGTTCAGGGAAGGAGGCACGGAGGGCCCAGCCCCCCGGTCGGCCTCACCACCGTGTGAGCGGGTAGTGGGACTGTTTCCGTTGTGGATGTACAGGGATGGGAGCAGCTTCCTTGGGCCTGCAGCTGGAAAGGGGCAGAGCGGGACCTGACCCTGAAACCCACCCTCCCTGCCTGGCTGGGTCACCCTTCCTGGGCCTTCTGTGGGCCGAAGTGTGCTTTTGGGGCCCCTCGGAGTCAGGGCAGAGAAATGGGGTGGCCGGGCGGCCTGTGGCACCGGCTTGGTATAGGGTTGAGTGTTGGGGTGAGCGGCTCGGAGCGGGGCTGGTGATGACAGAACAGGATGGGCTGGAACACCCTGCACCTGGCAGCCGCACCTAGGCGCAGCAAGCACGTCCTCCCCGGGAGCCTGCCAGCACCCCCCACCCCTGCGTGGAGGAAGGCCCCGTGGGTTTCACCAGACCGCCTGCCCACTGCCTGCCCTGACGGGGGCCTGACCTTGCATACAGCTGTCCCCACCCTGGCACATAGATATGGGGCCAGGCTCCTTGGGCTTCTGGAACCTGTTGCCCCACCCCGCGCCCCTCCCCCCAGTGCTCCGGACCCCCAGCTGGAAATGGATGGGCCCTTTCTACTCCCCCCTGGAACCAGCTGTGATCCCAAAACCAGAGCTTTCCAAAGAGAACCCCAGAAGGGCCTGACCAAATTGGCAGGGCCTGTGGGGAAGCTGCCAGAAGGCGGGCATGGGGTGGGGGGGGCTCCCCCCTCCGGCAAGGTGAAGGGACTGGGGCCAGGAGAGGTGCCTTCTGAGGATCCCCAAAAAGTGCTGTCCTCATGGGTTCAGGGCCGTGAAGCACCTTCTCCCCGTGATTCGAGAGCCATCCTCGAGCATCCGACCCCCACCTCTGCTCTCTCCCACAGCCACCTCCCAAGTTGCCCAGCGGTGTCTTCACCCAGGACTTCCAGGAGTTTGTAAATAAATGGTAAGGTGCCACAGTCTCAGGGCGGCCCGGGGCGGGGTGCCAGGCCGTCAGAGGCCCCGCCTGCCTCCTGGGATGGCTGCCCACACCCCGGCCGCTGGCCCAGATGCACACTTCCTTCCTGGTCCCGGGCCGGGCCCCTCTGCCGGGATCAGCGGCATCTGGGGGCACCTGGAGCTCACCTGAGAACCCAGTAGGTTCCCTTTTCAAGGCTACTGAGTCGCGGTGTCCAGGTGCTGTCCCCATCCTGTCCCCAAAGCCCAGAACAAACCAGGATTCCTGCCTTGCCTTCCGCCAGCAGGCGTCCCAGTTTCCTAAGCCATCAAGCCCTGTAACCCACCAGCTTCCCAACAAGGCTTCCAAGTCGGGTTCTGGCAAGCGGTCAGCTGCTCTCGGTGCGTCAGCGGGGCCTGGGGCGCGCAGGCTCTGCAACAGGAGGGGCCGGGGCCACCCCTCACCTCGAGGGCCGTGTTGCATGTCAGGGCGGGTGGAGTCGGCCTGGGGAGTACATCACAGACAGCAGCAGACCCACACCACCGGCCCTTTGCACAGCCACTGGCATGAATCCAGGGATCTGGGTGAATGTTTCTCTACCCCTCTCATTTTCTTTTGGTTCTGAACAGCCACCGTTAGGCCTCAGGCCGGTTTGAGCAAGTCTTTAGGGGCAGTTCTGCTTTTTTGAAGGAAAAAGTTCCATTTTGACATTCAGACTCCCAGGTTAGGGGGTTATTAGCAGTGCGGTTGCGCGGGGCCTCAGACCCGGCAGCGGCCAGCTGGTCCCCTCAGCCTTTCCCCTTCCCTCTTGTCCTGGTCTCAGACCCTTACCCTTCCCTCCCCGGGGGTCCTGCCCTTACACCCGAGGGACAGCAGAGCGGGTTCTGTTCTTGCTGCGTCCGGCTTCAGATGGGCCAGGCGCGGGGACGGGGCTGACCGATGACGGCCCAAAACCAAGTCCCCGTGGCCGCTGGCTAACTGCCCTGCCTTGTCTCCCCCACCCTCTGTCTTCCTCTCCAGCCTAATAAAGAACCCAGCAGAGCGAGCGGATCTGAAGATGCTCATGGTGAGTGATCGCAGGGGCACGGGCTCACCTCGGGGAGACCCCAGCCAGCTCTCAAGCCGACTCTGCATCCTGGGCCACATGTCCCGCCAGAGAGCCCCTGTGGTCTCCTGGCTTCATTAGTGGGGAGGATCTAGAGCAGCTGTGGTTCCCTTGGCTCCTGGAGCCACGGGATGGCCCATCCGTGCCCATGGTCAGGGGTGTTACTGAGAGTGGTAGGGCCCCACAGGCTGGGAAAACCTGGGCTTACCAGCCCCCCTGTAAGTCCACACTGTCTGATGCCCTTGAGAACCAAGGTGGGCGTGGAGACTCCCTTTCCTCTAGCAATGCAAGACCACTGGCGCATTCAGGCCCCTCCACTGCCGGCTCTCGTCCCCCCACACCCCTGCCATGCCTGCGGCAGCCTACCCTTCACACACCCCCACGACGTGAGACCGTGACAGTCACGGGCACCAGTCCTATGTCTCGGGCATGCAAACGGCAGAACTCGAGCCTCTATTCGTTGTCAGAACTCAGCCTTTCCAGTAAGGGGGCCGCGGCCTTCCTGCCTCCTCCAAAGAGCCTCCACCTCAGGGCCTTTGCAAAGGACAGGCCTGCTCCCTGGGGGACACGGCCCTTGCCCCTCTCGACCAACTTGTCCCCATCCTGGGGTCTCCGCTTCGGCGCCTCCTGTGAGGTGTCCCCAGGCGCCCCTCCGTTAGTTTCGGTGACAGCCAGCGTCTCCCGGTCGTGGGCGCGGAGAGCACCATGTGGGAAGGGTCTGCGTGCCCTGGTTCTTCGAGAGTCTGTTGTGTCCGCCGTAGAGAGTGTTCGTGTGATGTCACAAATGCGTGTTGGGTGTAAGATGTACAGATCTGTGATCTAGACAAGCTCCTTGATGTTGAGGTCCCCATGGGGCCCCCAGGTCTCTGCCCCACTTAAACCACTTTCTGTGGGGCCTGCTGCCCCAGACCATGGGAGTCTGGCCCTCTGTCCTGTCACCCCCAAGCCTGTGCTGACTCTTGGGAAGGTGAGGATGGCGTCTCCTGCCCCCCCCGCCTGGGCATCTTGTGGGGGACCAGGCCTCCTCCCGTGCACCCCGAGCCCCCAGGACCGCCTCTCCCCCGCACACCCTGTGGGGACAGCGTTGCTCACACCCCCCAGCCTTCAACCAGGAACCTCTGTTGCCACGCCGTCCCGGACGGGAACCACCAGCCATGTGCTGATCTCAGATACTTGAAACGGAACGCGCGCTTCTCTTCTTCAGCCCCAGGAGCCGACGTCCGAGGCTCAGGAGCCTCACGTGGCCAGTGGCTGCCACACCAGATGGAACGAGTCGGGGACTTCCTGTCCTCACGGAGGCTTCTCTTGTTCCAGATCCGATGTTCTCACCCAGGGGCGACTCTGTCCCCAGGGGACACAGGGCGGTGTCTGGGGACGTCTGTGGGCTTCACGACGGGGGTGCTCTGGGCGTCGAGGGGGTGGGGGCTGGGGACACTGCTCAGCCCCTCAGAGTGTGACCAGCCCTGCGTTGGCGGGGCCAGGTGGTGACCTGGGCCTGGTGAGCACAGCATCACCTCCCGCTCAGGCTTGGCGCCATTTGGCCTGCCGGGCCGCGCTCCTTCCTGACGCGCGTCTCCTCCCCTTGCAGAGCCACACCTTCATCAAGCGGTCCGAGGTGGAAGAAGTGGATTTTGCCGGCTGGTTGTGTAAAACGCTGCGGCTGAACCAGCCCAGCACACCCACGCGCACCGCCGTGTGATGGGGTCCCATGGGCGACCTGCCCGCCGTCCCACCCGTGCCCCGCCCCTCCTGCCCAGGACAGGCCAGGGCCTCCTCTCCCCCGGCCCGGCCCGCCTCTCCCTCCGCCTTCCGCGGAGCTGCCCGCACACCCCGCAGTGGACATTGAGCCTCCGGTCCCCGGGGAGGGTGACGCTGCTCGCGGTGTCTTGGACCTGCTTCTTAGGTTTAAAACAAAACAGGGAAAGAAAAAGCAAACTGTGCCCGTTGTACTTCCTGTTCTGTTTGTTCAGTGGGGGGGTGGGCTGGCAGTCCCAGCCCTGAGCCCACCGCCCACCTGGGGCAGAGCGGTGGGGTAGGGGGGACACCAGGAACTGGGGATGCAGCCTCAGGGAACCTCTAGACCTTGGTGTCTTTCACCAAAAGAAAGGGAGGTGCCGCCGCCCCACGCTCCTATGTCGTCCCTCGCATGACGCCCGACATTCACCCCTGGAGGTGGTCCCCAGGGCCCACTGGTGGTCATGGGGTCCACTCCCTCCCTCCCTCTTGTCATGCCGCTGACCTGCCTGTGCTCAGCAGCCTGTGACCTACCCCCAGGAGGGACCTGCTCACCCCTTCCTGTGCTGCAGGGGACAGACACTTCTAACTCTTGGTGGCAGTTGCTGAGCTGACACTTGGCAGAAAGGGAGCAGTGGGCTTCCAGGCTGTCGGTGTGGTCGAAAAGCCCCGCAGATCCAGCAGATGGGCCTGTGCTGTCCCCACGCCTGCGGGCTGGCAGATGCAGGCAGGTGGCTCTTCATGTCAACTCTGCTCCCCCAGAGAATCGGAAGTGACTGCCCAAGGTGCATCCCTCAGGCCCTCTGGCAGGTCAGCACCAGCTGCTGGGAAAGGAAACGGTGAGGGTGAGGTGGTCCCAGTTCCTGTGTCCATCTGGATGTGCACGTGCCCCAGGACCCAAGGCCGGGCCGCCTCTGAGGCTTCCCTGCCAGCTCTGAAGATGGCGGGGCTGTGAGCGCCCCCTGGACGCTGCGGCGGGTCGCGGGACTCGGCTGCTCTGCGGGCACGGCAGGCGGCCAGCCCTGGGTTTCTGGAGGCCGCCCTCCCAGTCTCCTGTGCTTTTTCCTGTGGACGCCAAAGAGGAGACGAGTTGCTGGCTCCTTCCACCGGCTTTCTGGGTTTCCACCACTTCCTAGTCCCCAAAGTCTCACCTATTGAGAAGAGAATAAAGCAGATACCCCGAAATCCGCCGCTGTCGCTCTATGGGGCCGGGAAGGTGGGTCAGCGTCTGGGCGGCGGGGCCCAACACGGGCCACCACGATGGGCCGCATCTTGGGGCCTGTCCCACACACGCCACGGCCGCCGAGCCTCTGGTAACGGGCTGCCATTTTCAAGGAGTAAGAGACCACGGTGACTGGGTCCTGAGGGCTCAGGGAGGATTTGGAATCAGTGGGGTAAGGTCTCTGCTGCTCGGTGTCCCAGGGCCGGACCACAGAGAAGCGGACTCTTTGTCTTCCCTATCTGTCCCAGACCAGGCTCCTGGGAAGCCAGGAACTCACCAGAACCTTGGGGACCTAGGCCAGCACTTCCTGGTGTCTCCCCTGCACACACCCGGCTCTCCCGTCGGCCAGACAGACCTGCTGACAGGCTCTATTGCGAAGGGGCAGGCTCCTCCTGAGTTGCGTAGGAGCTGTTGGTTTTGGGGTCTCCTGACATGGGGTCAGCAGAAGGTGGCCCTTAGGAGATACAGAGCGTTTTGTGCGGCCGGGTTGAGGTTTCTCGGCTCCTCTTGAAGAATCTCGATGCCACCAAGTATGGGAGCCCGAAGACCCCGCCTCCATCTTCGGGGGCCCCTGCGGACACGACACCTGTGACCCCCGGACACCCCATCTTTCTGACCTCTCTGTCCAAACAAAATCAATCAGGAAAGGCATCCGAGCTTTGGGATCTTGAGCGTTGGTTGGGTTCTTCGTTTGTTTGGTGTTGTCTTTGCTTTTTTGTTCCTGCGCTTGGTTTGGGAGAAGATCCCGAGTGTCTTGTCCGCACCAGCTTTTCTCATCCTGTGCCCTGCGTCCCCGGAGGGTGGGCCCCGTCCCCGCCTGGTTCCCTCCCGCACCGTTTGTGCCGCGGAGTCCTGAGCGGCTCACCGGACGGCCTGGTGGTGCATCCCCCTCCCCCAGGAAAGCCCACCCGCATTCCCCTCCCGCAGCGAGCTCGGCGGGGTGGCCCGGGCGGAGCGCAGGGCATGAGCCTGCAGACCCAGCCCAGGTCACTGCCGGGCCAGCGCTGCGTGTAAGACGGGGAAAGACACAGGTGAAGGTAATGCAATGGCATGTTTTATTCATCCCAACAGAGGCAAAATACTACCCTCTCGCCTTGTAACCAATGTGAGAAATTAGCAGTGTGGTCTTTCACGTTCTTTGTGTCTTCTTCCACGGAGCCTTTGGAATCCGGCGTGTCTTTTGCCCTCGCAGCGCACCTCAGCCCAGCGTGGCCACGTCTCCGGGGCCGGGGGCCGCGTTGGGCAGCAGAGGCCCAAGCCCGCTCCGCTGTCAGCCCGCTGGGTCTCAACCTGGGAACACAGGGCCATGTCCGAGATGTCTGTGGTCACACTGGGGGTGCTCCTGGCATCTGTTGGGTGGGGGCCAGAGAGGCTGCTCAGCCCCCCACAGCGCCCTGGACGCCCGCAGAGAAGGATCCCGAATGGCTGCAGTGGGGCGGTGGGGGGGAGACCCCGCGTTAATTATTTGGAAAAGAAATTGAGTCCACCCCTGCTCGTGCTGGACCCCAGAGTAAAGCCCCCGCTGTACAAACCAGGCGACCCCGGTGTCTATGAGTCACCCCCTCTCTCCCTCCCACTCTGTGTGTTTATTTTTAAGTAAGCTCTAGGTGGGGCTCAAGCTCACGAGGTCAAGCGCCGCGCACTCCACCGCCAGCCAGATGTCCCTCAGCATGTGTATCTAAATGTGTGTGGCCTCCCAGGGGTCTCACCTGGGGCAACCCTGCCCCCAGGGGACACTGGGCCACGTCTGGGACGTCTGTGGTGGTCCACTGGGGAGCTCCTGGCTCCGAGGGAGTGGGCTGGGGATGCTGCTCCACCCCCACAGCACCCCCGTGGACGATGCCGAGGGCAGAGAGCCTGACTCAGCCCTAAACCCTACCCCAGTTTGATGGACCAAGAGGAGAGCATCTGTGTCCCAGCCTCCCTGCCCAAACCAGTGGACTTCCTGTGGCCATAGTCCGGGACACGGTGCGGCAGGAGGAATGTGGGCAGAGGGGGCCTGGAACCTTCTGGGAGGTGGGGAGTCCAGAGAAGGGTGCTCAGCCAGCCCTCTGGGCGGAGGTATGTGCCGGGCAGGAAGCCTCAGGTCAGAGGCGGAAGTCGGCCTCCCTCTGTGGGCCATGGACTCCGGGTTAACAGAGGTCAGAGGAAACTGCCACAGGGTTTCCCAGAAAGCGGGGTCCAAGGTGGAGTGGGGGTGAGGAAGGGGAAGGGGTGCCCTCAAAACGAAAGCAGCAGGGTTCCTCCAGGCCCCGCCCCTCCCGGGCTTGGAGCTGACCAGGTGTGTGAGCCTGGGGCAGCCCCCAGCCAGGTGGGTGGAGGACCTGCCTGGTCTGCCGTCCCCATGGCAACGTCGGGCTGGCTCCGGAGGAGGAGGAAGGAGGGCCGAGGGAGAGGCCTGGGCCCCACCGCAGCCTGAACAGCCTGAACCGAGGCCGAGGCTCAGTCTCGGGTTTCTTCCCCGGGCTTCCCAGGGGACAGAGGGAGGCCCGAAGAGCAGCCCTTGGAGAACCGGGGGCCTCGGGTGAGGGAGGGACTGCGGCCCACAGCCCTGCCGCCTCCCCTGGGACACCCACCCCGTGGCTGCAGGACCCACACCACTTTCCCCCTGGCTCAGCAGCCTCAAGGGAGGCCATGCCCCCTGGGAGCCCCCCCTTCCTTCCCTGCCCCACCAGCAGAGGGGGTCCTCCCAGGCCTACAGAGCAGATCCTCTCCGGAGCAGCCCTGAATCCCTTCTCTCTCTACCCCGGCCCCACCCCGTATTGTGAGCCGCACAGGTCTCTGACCCCCGGAGACGCTAGGCTACTTGCCCAAGGTGACATGGGGCCCACCCAGAGGGTCCCACCTTCCCCAGGACAAACGCCGGCCATCCTGCCGTCGCCAAAGCCACGCTTTCTCCTGACTCAGTCGCTGTCTTTTCAATCCACTGATGCCCCGCTATGGTGTCCGCAGCCTGGCCATAGAGCTGAACAGAACTCACAGCGCCCCTAAGGCTAAAGGCAAAGCGAGGCAGAACCCCATGGACTGGGTGTTCTTGCCGAGAACCGCCTGTGAAGGAGGGTCACCAAGGGCCCTCGGGCAGGGGGCATCCCCAGCAGGGGAACCCGCGGAGGCCAAGGCTTGGCAGTGGGGCCACAGAACATGGGCCCTGGAGAAGATCCACCGGCCTGGGGAGGGGGGATGGGGCTCAAAATACTTAACAGCCATCCAGTGGAGCAGTGACCACCCCCCTGGACATGGGAAGGGACCTGGGTTCAGAAGGGAGTCAGGGGACCCCGCTATGCCTGGCGTTGACCCTTTCTGGTGGTGCAGTGGGAAATAAAGGGGTCTGGTCGTTGGCCACCAGGTGGAACCGAAGCCTGTTAGCACTCAACCCCCCACTGGCCTTGGGCGCAGGACTGGGTGGTGGCCACGCTGGGAGCCAGGTCAGTTGGGTGTCTGGCTAAGAAACTAGTAGTTTGTGCCAGGGACAGCTGCCGACTGCGAGCCAGGCAGTAACCTCAGACAAACAGGTTTAGGAAGCTGAGTTAATAAGGAGCAGGACGCACAGATTGCCCCGCACGGGGGTCTAGCCCCGACTGTGGCTGTCCTCTTGGGGGCCACACCAGCGATGCGGGGGTGCACATCCAGGCATCAATGAGGGGCCTCAGGGAAGCAGACCTTGGAGTGCAAAGAACGTCACAGAGCTGGGTCCTAAAGGGCAGGGCGAGGCCGTGGCCTGGAGACCCCCACACGGCCTGCCCGGGGTCCAGCCCTTAGATCTGTCTCTTCCACAGAGACCCTGGCTGGGTGGAGGTAAAGCCTGGACCCAGAGAAGCTGTCCTGGGTGCCCCCTGCCCCCCAAAGAACCAAGCCCACCTGGCTCGGCTGTCCACTCCCTGCACATGTCCGGTTCTGCTTGCCTCTGAGCCTTTTCACACTCTGTTCCCTCTGCACCTGCCTAGCTCCTACTCACTGATGGGTGGGCAGCTGCTCAGAATTCATCTTCTCAGGGAGGCCACCCCTGCTTCCCTCACCCCTGTAACCCTCTGTGTGGCTGCAGTCACCCCCTCCGCTCACGTACAAGCTCATGCAGGGGTCACTCGCCAGCCCCCTGCCCTGACCCTCATCTCCTTTCTTCCAGTGACAGGATTTTTTCACAGGGACCCAGGTTTCTTTTTTTTTTTTTTTAAGATTTTTATTTATTTATTTGAGAGAGAGAATGAGAGAGAGCACATGAGAGGGGGGAGGGTCAGAGGGAGAAGCAGACTCCCTGCTCCGCAGGGAGCCTGATGTGGGACTCGATCCCGGGACTCCAGGATAATGACCCGAGCCGAAGGCAGCCACTTAACCGACTGAGCTACCCAGGCGCCCCGGGACCCAGGTTTGTAAACACAGTCACATCACCACCCCCATGTCTGTTGGGCCCTGGGACCCAGGGTGCAGGCGCAGGGGCTGCCCAGGGGTCATGGGGTGGGGAGGAGAGGGGAGGAAGGGGAGGGGCGCAGGGGAAGTGCAAATCTCTCACTCTCACCTCCCTCCCTGTGTGCACCTGCTGCTCCCTGTTCTGGAAGCTTCTCTGTCATCACCCCTCTCCAGCCCCAACTCCTGCTCAAACTTCAGGCTCAGGACAAACATCCCCCCTCCCCCCCCCACTCAGGGCAGCCTGCTCCCCACCCCCTCCCCAACAAGGGCCACCAGACCTTCCAGTGAACCTTCAGCATCGCTGCTTGTTGGATTTTCCCACCTCCCATCTTCTTGGCCTCGGACCTGGCAGTGGGCTCTTCAACACGACATGTAAGCACAAGCAGCAAAGGAAAACACAGGTGCGCTTGGACTGCTCAAATCGGGTGCATGAAAGGACCCCATCAAGAGACAACCCAGAGAGTGGGAGGCAGCTCTAGGGTCCAGAGTATAAAGAATACTTACAGCTCAGCAACCAAAAGACAAGCGCCCCAATTAAAAAGCGGGCAGAGGGTTGGAA